CTATTGAATTTCTCAATTAATTGCATTAACTTATAATTTAAATTCAATGAAATATGTCCAAAAACCTTTGATTTTCTAGATGAGTTAGTGACTCCTTATATACTTTTTGTACACTAATCATTCATGCTGTTAAACAATTTTCATAAAACAATTTTTTATGAATAGTAAAAAATTTAATTTATTAGATAAGAATAAATAAAAAGATGAGACTATTAAAAATTAAATCAAATTTTAATACATTATCAATCTAAATATTTGTATACCCCACTTGATCAAAATGTGTTATGGAGAGCTAAATATTTTTGGTTGATGCTTTGGCAAATTAAGGGTGTGACAGAAATAGTTATATGTGAACTCGATTATTTTTGGCTACCTGTTTGAGAGGTTGTTTTCAGTCTTTTTTTAATTGCAATTACTGATATATTTTTTACTTTCTAAAAAATAGTCATCATATATTGAGTTTTCAATTTTACAAAAAAAGATGAAAAACAAAGGAGGATACGATTTTTAAAGTTGATTTTGAAAATGCATATGGTTCAGCTAGTTGGATCATCTCAAACACAAGCTTATTCAATTTAAATTTTGAGAAAAAACAAGAAGAGGCCGAAAGAAGGCTTGTGTGTTCTTGAAGTACTATATTTGTTGATTAAAAGTCTAATAAAAGAATTCTTAATTTTTCTCCTTATTATAGTAGATATACTTCATGTAACATCTTATGTTTAATTTCAATAAATCATAATTTCACAAATTCAAAATAAAATAAATTTCATTTCAAATAAGGTTCTCAACCCTTAGTTTCATCAAATATTTTAAAATAAGGAAAGGGGTTACAATTTCTATCAAGTCACTACTATAGGACCCATTCAAATACATTAGTTTCAAATTAAAATCCTAGTCCTATAGCAGTTTCATCCGCCCCTTTCACTGAGTTTGGTGCTGATCATCTTGATTACCTGAAAAATGAATGTAAGGGTGAGTATTCTATACTACCAAAACATACAATTAAGCATAGAGTCCCACCTCCAGCACATTATCAATACGTTAAACAAATACAAGCACAGACATCATTATCCATCCATAAGCACAGTTCATGAACCCATGCATACTCACGCCAGCCACACTCACATTGACACTGTGATCACAGATTTACACCATAAATGGTCGTCGGTTACCCCCACCTCACGGATACCACGTGGGCAGTCACAGGTCGCTCAGCAAAGGTAATGGTCAGAAGTCTAGTCAGGAAGAGAGTGTATGGCCCGTGGTGTATCCGTTCTACAGTCGGTGTCACCACTACTCCCTCTTCCCCAAGGTATTTCTACCGTCCTCATCTCCCATACCCCCAATGTATCGCTGAATCATTCACAACACATTACAACAGCGTTAAATAACACATATTTCAGTATACAACACATGGCCCACATTTAACAATACATGACACTAGGCCCATATTTGTTCAACTTTACGGCACTAGACCCACATTTCATTTTCATAGCACACATAGCGCATAGCCTATAATTCATTCAACACACACGGCTCCTAACCTATTTTCATTCATATTACACGGCCCTCGAGCCCACATTTTCACAATATTCATTCAAATATACACACATGTATAAACGGCACAAGTGCCCACATCACATATCTCAGCAATTTCCTACCCTCTACTCAGCCACATCATAATATCACACAAAATATCAGTAAATCACACATAAAGGAGTAGGGTAGAGTCCCCCCTTATCTTGGATTGAAGACCCATGCCCGAACTCAATCACAAAAATGCTCCCCACACGGCTTTCAGCCTAAACACATGGAAGAATTCCATGAGAACCCTGAAAATTACCAAGAACAGAGAAAAGGAAGGAAAAACAAAAACCCTAACCATTTAAAACTCACCTTCGAGCTTTCCCCACACAAATTCGAGCTCCAATCTCGCTCCCAAACGGCTTTGGAGGCAATTAATCGGTGGAATAGAGTTTGGAAGTGAGAGAATCGAAGGGATTTCAAAGAGAGAGGGAGAAATCACTCTCCCCGAACCCTAGCCTCCTTTAAATCCTTTTCTAGTCGCGACATTCCCGCTACAGCGAGAAAACAGAGAGAAAATTGCACTCTGGTTTCTGCAAAATCTCGCTACAGCGAGACTGCACCCAGAAATTCACCCCAAACTGTCGCTTTGTCGCTACAACGAGAAGGCGACAATTCTGGTCCTTCCTCCTAGGGCCTTCTCGCTACAGCGAGAACAGCCCAGTATCTCGCCCTGTACTTTGGCACTTAGCCCATTTCAGCCCAACCAGTCATACATACACATATCCATGTAATTAACACACATAAAACATCATTTTTAAATAAATCAACACACATATGAATATATATATATATATATATAATAATAATAATTAATATTATCAAAATTCGGGGCATTACACTTCAAATGTCTCAGGTGAACAAGGCTTTTCTAGGTACCAAAAAATTAATGAAACATTAAGGGCTAAATTATAATTAAGTAAAAGAGAAACAAGTTTGTAAAATAATTACTATTTGATGTGTTATTAATATGTACATGTTCAACTATTTTCATTTATTTTGTTTGTTTGTTTGTTTAGTCTTATAAATATGTAATTTATAAAGCCAAATGGAAGGAATTGATAGAAGGAAGAATGATTGAAAATCAAATAAAAAATTTAAAACATTAGCGTTTTAAGTATGTGAAGTAAGAAGTATTATGTATAATAAAAATAACATAAGAACAAAATATAAGCAAGAATGGTAGCAGCCCTTTCTGCAACATAGTCTGCCCAAGAAGCCTAGAATTAAGGTCTGGTAAAGATATGAATTTGGTTCAATACAAGCTTCATTTTCTGGAATAAATAAGAGACACAATATGAGTTATATAATAAGACAATTTATAGATAGATAGATAGAATTGTCAAAAATTTGCTCAATAAAACATAAATTTGTCTTTATTAAAATAATAAACACGTTTCAAGTAAGAATATTATTATTACTTACATTAAACATAACTATTAATTAATAATTTATATGAAGTTCCACACCTATAACCATGATGGTTATATACGAGGCTCTTCATCAATAATTATTAATTAATTATGATATACTAAAGCTAATATTTACTATAATTAATTACAGTGTTTAGAGATTTTTTTTTGTCAAAAATATTTTATAAACATAAATCATTGATATACAAACATACAGGTCAGACATCATGGGACAGAAACATAATAGATATGTGATCAATGTTATTTAAACCAATTACATATAAGTTGATTCAAAATTTATCCAATATAAACTTGGGTATTTCATTATTAATGGAACCGTCAATTTAATTCTATTATGAACTTTCTTTAGAATGAAAAAGTCCAAGACACAAATATTATAGAAATATATATTATTCATATTGGAATAATTAGAATAAAATATCAGGTCTATTATTTTATAATCATTACTAAAGTAGTAGCAAAAATTGCTAATGTTTTTATTCTCAGCATAAAAGTAAAATTAAAATAAGATTGGTCACCATGGACAGAGGGTTAAGTGTGAGGATTGAGGAGTGGCTAATGTAAAAAACACAATTAAAGATGAAACTTTATTGGGCAAAGAGTCTCTCTTTTTTCTAAAAATGTTATCTTTAACAATAATTAGAAGTGAAATGAAAGGACCAGAATTGATGTTAATATAAAATTTAGGTTTAATTGTAATTTTATTCCTTCAGTTTAAAATATCTGTAATTTTGATTTTTTTTAAAAATTTAAATTAATTAAGTAAATTTAGTCTTTATTGATAGAACGTGATTTTGAGGAAAGAAAATTTTAAGATTTTTCTTTAATTTTTTTTTATGAAATTTGATATCTTGATCTGAGTTTTGAATATAATACAATTTAATCCATTCAATTTATAATGATTAGTTTTAGATAGAAAAATTTAATAAAAAATAAACTACTAATTTTTAAAAAAACTTAAATAACTTTAGAAAAATTTTAAAATATGCATAATCTAAATTAAAGAGACCAAAAGTATAATTAAACTTAAAGTTTAATACCTGAAATCAGTACTGAACTAAATATAATGACTAAGCACATCTTTCCTTACGTATTCTAATTGATTAATCACTAATTGATTAACGGTATCAAAATTAATCTCTTTTGTAAATACGATAAAATTTAGAAATATAAAAAATATTGAATTGTTAAATAATTTAAAATAAAAAATACTAAAGATCTGTTCTTAGTAAAAAATAAATATTCTATTTTATTAAGAAATATACATGGATAAAATATTTAAAATTAAAGAATAAATTCTGAAAATAAATAATGTAAATCAATTTATAATTTGATATTATTCAATCTTCACTTTAATTTTTTGTCCTCTTATTTTATCTATCTGTATAAATATTTTCAGAATTTTATGTTTGTCTTTACCTGAAGTGTCCTGACGATCTTTAAAAATAAACTAATCAATATTCTTGTGACTCGTACTGCTCATCTTTTGGTGCTCGCTGAAATAATAAATAAAGAGGTAATTTATTAAAATTAATACTCAAAATTGAAAGAATAAATAATAAATACATGGTAACTAGTAAGTACTCAAAATAAATTTTACAGCTTACATAATTTTATTTAGAAAAATTTGGAGCAAGAAATTTTCTCTAACCATTAAACGTAGAAAATTTATTTTATTCCACTAATTTTATTATATCTTTTATGCAAAAGATACTGGTTTTAACTAATCAAACATTGATAAAAAAAAAACAATGATTTTAACTAATCAAACATCAATTAAAAAATTTTAACAGAAAAAAAAATGCAAACACAACTTAAATAGTTGACAATTGAAAAGAGTTTCACTAGTCGATTGAGTTATAAAAAAAAAATTGATAAGAAAATATGTTAATTATAAATAACCAATTTTTTCTTTCTTGGAATATTTTATTGATAAACATTGATAAAAATACTATCTTTAAGGTTTGAGTGTATAATGAATACCTTCAACTTTGGACAACCATACACCTCTATAGAACACGAATCCTTGAAGTGATATTGAGAGTGTAAGCTTCCACAAAGGTCAACGAGGTTGGGCAATTCTTGGAGGTGAAGTACTTGTAGATTTGGAAGCATCAGTTCTGTGACTTGTGAATCAGTGGCTTTGTCTACACTTCCAAAAACGTGCTCTACATCAGAGCAGTTCCCTAAGTACATGAGCCTTAATTTTGGCATATCTCTCATCATGGACACAGGGAAGACACATTTCAACTTGTTGCATCCATAAATTGAAATAGACCACAATTTTGGGAAGCATATCTGTTGCCTTTCTTTCTCCTCTTCATTTGGAATTACTTTCTCCAACTCCTCACAATCGTAAACACGTAGTGTTTTCAATTGTGGAAAGCTTCTAATGACATGGACGGAAAAGACACTCTTCAATTTACTGCATTTATCTACTGTTAGGTGTTGAAGCTTGTGGAAATTGATTAAAGACGGCCCCTTCCATAGAAATATTAGATTGCTTATATTTCTTAAATACAACACTTCTACACTTGAGATAAATGATTTGTTTTGAAAATCGGAGACTTGAGTAGACATGGCCTCATCATATCCCTCTATGCCCTACAATTCCAATAAAAAAAAGTTACCCTAAGATTATACATGAATAACATTTTATAATCTTAATTTGTTTGATAATAAGCATTTTATGTGGCTTTTGAAAATTAAAGATTCATCAGTACCATTTGTAAATATTCTGAAATTGGAGGCAATTTGGGGCATGCTTCGATTTCAATGTGATGAAGCTTCACCGCATGTAACTTCATCCCTTGACAAACATCAACGAGAACAGGCAGGTTTTCAAGTGTTATTCGCCACAGGTTTGGGAGTACAAATTTTTCTTTGTTGTTTTTAGCTTTATGACTAAAGGCCTCCTCTAATTGAGTAGCATCTTCTATTTCCAAATGTTGTAGTTGTGGAAGCATTCCAACAATGGTTAAAGAGAAAAGTCTCTTGAGCTTATTGCATTTGATGACCTTTAACTCTCGAAGATTTGGAAAGCATCCTTCAACATTGTATGTATTTTGAGTTTCCCCATTATCCAAAATAATTTCCTCTAATTCATCACATTCACGTATGTATAGGACAGTCAAGTGAGGTAGTCTTATATGAAGGACATCCATTGAGAATAGATGTTTCACTTTTTCACACTTAACCACTTTTAAACTTCGAAGATGTTGGAAGCCCAATACAGATATTTGTAGAGTCGAGACATCACCATTCATTAGCTTCTCATTCACCCCACTTGTCCTTGGTTTCTACATAAAAGAGAACAAAAAATATTAAAAGAAATCAAAACCACGATTTAGATTAAATAATTAATTAGTAGTTTCCAATTTTCGAAATCATACAATGTTATTTTTGTGTGGATTATCATAGTGTTGTTACATCAAATAGCCCTCCTTTTATTTTTGTCACAAGAACTACAATCAACATCATGGAGCATACCACACCATTTTCTGTAACTAACAAAATGGCTATCCTCTGTTTCGGAAAAAACAAGGATATTATTTAGGAAGTAATTCATGAAAGTACAACTTACAAGTTGTTGTTTCTCTGTAGATGGCGAATGTGGGTAATAGTTTTTCTCGCATATTTTCAGAAAACATGGGAGATTCTCTAGCTTGAGTGTTCTTAAAAGAGGAAAGAGGAAAACATGAGAATTGTGAGGCTGAAGTTCTTCAAGTTCACCAAGGCAGGAATTGTCAGGGATTGGAAGTATTTCTTGAACCGTATTAATTCCACTTTCTTCTTCTCTTATCATATGTTCCAATATGTCACACCCTGACAACTTCATTTCTTCAAGCTTCAAAAGATTTTCGGCAGTGGACATTGGGAAAAGTGATGCCAACTTAGGACATGATTCTATGTTTAAGCATTTGAGATGGCATAAATTGCTTTTCGTTGAAAATATGCTCTTCAAGTCAATACAAGAAGATAATTCTAGTTTTTCTAATTTTAATTCATGTGGAGAAATTTTATTGATGACGCATTCTATCTTGTCACAATTGTCAAGACGGAGCTCAGTCAACTCATTCATGCCTCCTACAGCTTGAACCACTTCAGGGAAGAAGCTTTTACAATCTCCTTGAAGTTCAAATAAATGAACTGTATTTATTCTTTGTAAAAGAGCCTTGGTAACTTTTCCTGGATTTGAAGTATTGAACTTTTCCATGTAGAAAACTCTGTTAGGAAAATTGTCTCTACCATATTGAAAATGATTGAATCCCCCAACACTTATAACATAGCTTTGCAATTTGAATAACTTATCATTCTTCTCCAAGGTTTCATATGACTTTAAGCTTAGCCGACGACCATAGATATATAATTCTTCTAGATGTAAACATTTTTGAATCACTTCATCATAACATTGATCAAGAATTTCACATTGTGTTAGATCTAATAATTTTAATTTTTTCAATTTGCCAATATCATTAGGCAGTTCCTTCAATTGACTAAATTGTAAGTCCAAAATCTCAAGGCTCCTCAGGCTTACAACAAAAGAGATGTCTTCCAATTCCAACCCCCTCAATCGCAGAGTTTGAAGATTAGTCAACCATTGAGTTGAATGTGGCAATGACAATATTGACCTCCGATAATAAAACCCATTTATTGCCATGACCTTGAGTTTTTTCACACCTTCAAATGATAAATTTGAAAGATTCAGTGTATAGGACATCCCATACTTATCGAAGTTCAACAAAAGAACCTCAAGTTTTGGAACATTCAATTCATGAAGAACCGAATCTTTCTCCAATCCCCATAAAGATAAAACATATGACTCTTTAACAGCTTCATCCTCTAAAAATTCGTGTAGCATTTGTGTCTTTAAAAGCTCTTTAAGATTTAGCTCAATGGTTTTTTTCTCTTTGCATGTTATCCACAAGACTACATTACGAACCAAGTCATGCATTTTTACAAGTTTCTTTTCTTCTTCAGAATAACCTAGCAACGAAGATTTTATGAGATCTTCAATTGCCACATTCACTTTGCACCTTATTATTTCAAAAGAGTCAACTTCCTCACGTATTCCCAATCCTATTCCATATCTAAACAGATCTTCAACTTCAATCTCATGATCTTCTGGAAACATACTACACATTCGCAAGATTGACTTGGCTGCATCACTTCTCAAATAATCATAGCTTAATTTAAGACAAGTGAAAGCATTTCTATCACCTTCATCCACATCGGCTGGTTTTGAATGCTTTAGATTATTCAATGCTGATATCCACCAACTGTCAGACTTCTCCTTCAAAGCAGCTCCCACAGATACAATTGCAATTGGAAGCCCTTTGCATTCCTTAACTATTTCCAATGCCACTTCATTCAATGCACCATTTATGCCAGAATGCATTTTGAACAAATGCTGAGATTCCTCTCCTGATAAGAGATTTAGGGGAATTTTCACTGTACAATCCATCGAAACACATACGTTTAGACGACGTGTGGTCATAAGGACTTTGCATCCTTTTCTGTGGTCACCCTTAGTAGGAATCCCAATTTCTTCAAAATCAAGCTTATCCCAAACATCATCCAAAATTATCAAAATTCGTTCTCCACTTTTAATTTTCATTGATAATCGCTTTGCCCTTCCAGCAATACTTGTTTCCTTAACTTCAAATCCCAAGCTATCTTTGATTTCATTTTGAATATTGTTGATTTGTGGATTTTGGGAAATTGTGGTAAATATGAAATGATCAAAAATCCCTTCTTTCTTTACTTTCTTGCCCACTTCTTTTGATAAGGATGTTTTTCCTGATCCTCCCATCCCATACAGCCCAATGACATAGTTATTGTCATCCTTGAGAGCTTCCAAAAGTTTATACTCAGCCTCCTTTGTAGACTTGAAGAGCATAAAATTTCCAGAAGAAGAAACTTCAAAATTTGAAGGTGGGAGAGGGTGTGAAAAGGGATTGAATGTACTTTCTTTATTCAGCAATTTCATTCTCTCTATTTTCTCTGGCAATTGTTTGCACAAACAGTATCGCTTCCAAGTAGGACACCACCCTCGAAAGCAGCCATTGTTTGCATTTAGCTCTCGTTGCAAATTCTCCACTTCTTCTATGATTTTATTCACATCATTCATCCATGTTTTAACAGCCTTCTCAGCTTCTTCTACGTTCTTCCGAGCCTCCTCAATTTGTTCCTCCACCTTCCCTTTTGTTGAATTAAGCTCCGCCTTTTCATTCTGAAGATTTCTTGAGAAATTTCCAATGCAAAACAAGTATTGTCCTTCACGCAATGTTGGACCTACCAAATATTCAGCAAGTTTGGATGCAATGGATATTATGAAATCTGTCATCTTGAATAAGTTAAAGGCAACCTGCAAAATGAGGATTTAGATTTATTACATGAGCATTGAATATAAAAAATTCTTCGAAAGTTGTAACTTAATGACACAACATGTAGATTAGTGAGAAGCAGGTTGGCTTTATATTTTCAATCAATGAAATCGAATTAACATAGAACTATGCTTAAATTTATTTTTCTTAACTTACTTTTGGTTTTCTTTTATAAGGTAGTGCAAGGTGTAACGCTCCGAATTTTGTAATATTAATTATTGTTATTTATGTAAATCTAAAGGCATATATATATGCGTGTGTTGAATTACTTGATAATGATGTTTATATGTATTAAGTGTATGGATGTGTGTGTTGTGTGCATGTATGACTGGATAGGGTTGAAATGAACTAAGTGTCTAAGTGCAGGGTGTGATACTGGGTTGTTCTCGCTGTAGCGAGAGGGCCCTGGGAGGAAGGATTGAAATTGTTACCTTCTCGCTGTAGCAAGAGACGTCTTGCTGTAGAGACAGAGCGACAGTTTGGGGTGCATTTCTGGGTGCAGTCTCGCTGTAGCGAGATTCTGCAGAAACTAGAGTGCAGTTTTCTCTGGTTTTACCTCGCTGCAACGAGAAAATCTCGCTGTAGCGAGAGTGTTGCGACCAAAAAATGATTTAATGGGAGTTATGGTTCATGGAGAGTTGTTTCTCCCTCTTCCTTCGATCCTCTTATGCCTAAAGCCCTTTTTTCACCGATTAAATTGCTTCCAAAGTCGTTCGGGAGCTTGATTGAAGGTTGAATCCATTTGGAGAATGCTTGGAGGTGAGTTTTAATGGTTATGGTTCCATTTCTTATCCCCATTTCCCTGTTTTTCGGTTTCTTGGGGTTCTCATGGAGTTCTTCCATGTGTTTTAGGCCAAAATCTGTGTAGGGAGCACGTCTGTAGTCGACCCGAGTGTGGGTCTTCAATCCAAGGTAAGGGGGGACTCTACCCTACTCTTTTATGAGTGATTTGTTGTTATTCTATGGAATGTCGTGATGTTACTGAATTAAAGGATAGGAAATTACTGAGATACGTGATGTGAATTATGTACTGGATGTTGTGAATGGGTATGGGCACTCGTGCCGTATAATTGAATGAATATTATGTGAAATGTGGGCCCGAGGGCCGTGTAATATGAACGAAAAGAGGCTATGGGCCGTGTGTCGTGAATTGGATATAGGCTGTGTGCCGTGTGCAAGCATGAATATTGTATATGTGAATGGATTATGTGTGAATGGGCGTGTCACCCCTTTCTTTATTTAAAATGTTTGATGAAACTTGGATTGAAAATGGAAATTCTACTATTTTAAACATTTGCGAAATTTCTTATTTATTAAAATTAAATTTAAGGTGTTACACAAGGAGTAAAATAAAACAACTATAATAAAATATTTTTAAGCTTCTAATGAAGAATATTAAATAAAGAATACTAAAATATAACAAAAACAGAATATAATTTTTTTAGAAGGTGAATGTGTTTTATTTTTATTTTTTTATAAACTCAAAGATTTTAAATAAAACTGTAAAGATAAAAAAAAAAAAAAAACAAAGATTATATTTCATCTTTAACACTCATATATCAAACTACCAAGAAAGTTTATTAACATTAGAAAAGTTCTCTTACCCAATTTCATGAATTATAAAATTTAAGGGTATCCAACTATATATATAGTAATTATGTGAATATTTTTATTGAATGCTTAGGAATTTTAGTCGTAAGAGTTGCAATATAAACTAATTGAATCTGTTAGTGGTTAAAGTGCAAGAACAAGTAAGCAACATACTTGAAAATTAGCAATAAATAAATAAATTATTTTACACAAGACATAACTTTATAAAAGGTGAGACTCAAATAAATTTAGGATTTGTAATGTGTAATATTTCAAATTCTTTGAATATAAATGAAATTCTATCTTTATTATTTACTATTTCGTTTTTATAGTGGAATCTAATTTACCATTTTTAAGAAAAAAATATGAAAGATATATAAATAAAGTTTATAATATATTAATTTTATTTGTGAAATAGAAATTTTTTAAAGAATTAAGAAACAGGTAACACATTTTGATAACATCTTCTATTTTTGTTATCTTTGCTTATGTAAAATTGGAGAAGCTGTTAAAATGAAAATTATTGATGAAACTCTTGAAAATAAATATAATTTAGTGAAATTATTCAAAATTCTTAAATAAGAGCGATTAATGTTAAAATGATTAAGTAATGCTAAGTATAGGCGATGGGGATTGATGGTGTTGATTAAAAAATTATCATAAAAAATAGTTAAGTGCATGATTTAGTGAGAAACTCAAGACGTACTGTCACAAATCGTGATTTTTAAATATATATCTAGAGGCACATAAATTCATCAAGATTAGTAGTAGTGTTCTTATCTAAGAGTAATCATACACTAGAAGGACTTGTTTGATGAACATGGTAAGATAAAAAAATAATAGAATAAAAAAGTTGGATAAATATATAATGTGATACGAGAAGAGAAGTATAAATTCTTATTATATCTTACGTTTACTGTACAATGAAATAGTAAAACAAATAATATTATGTCATTTTATTTAATGTTTGAGATAAATAAAAATAATAATAAAATAAAATGTGAATTATATTTTAAATGAAAAATTTCTCTTTTATCAAAATTAACATAGTTTTTTGAGAATTATTGTTATTTAAATTTTTGAAAATTTAGAATACTTTTGTGTGCACTAATGTTAAAATTGTGATATTAAATATAGTTAAAAATATATATAATTAATTTTTCATAAAATGAGTAAAAATATTTTCTTATAAAAATTTTTTAAAAATATGTTTTTCTTAAAATATTTTTCATTAAAAAGTGTTCATATATTATTTTTATAAAAAATATTAAAATTATATTTTTAAGTAATTATATTTTATAAATTTTTAAAAAGGGTAGAAAATATTAGTAATAACGTAATTGAAAAAAGTTTTCCTATCTTAGTATTTAATGTTTTCTTAGTCATGACCCTTAAGGATAAGAATTTAACTATAAGAAGAGGATAAATAGTTAAACAAGATAAGTTATCATAATATATTTTCAACAAAATCTATTAATAAAATATAATAGAATAGCATAGTAAAAGTAGGTGTCTAAATAAATGTCTTTATAAGTTTTAACTAAAATTATTTTAAAGCCTTTGTGTGTTTTCTTTCTTTCTTTTATCCAACCTAACATTTTTACCCATGACCACACTACAATCTATAAAATGATCTTTTCATTCTTGCATCCAATTAAAATGAATAACGGAGATTTAGTTAAAAATCAAGCCTATAGTATATAGGACTTTCTTTAAATGGAGTTGAGTGAATCTTTAACACTTTGAGAGGAAGGTGAGAAAAGTACTCATCTTTGGTGCAAAACTTGGTTCTAAGGAACCTATTCTTACTACGCTTAGTTAAACTCACAAGGTACTTAACGATGAATTTTGTTTCATTCATTAGGTCCCTAAAAGTGTAAGTTCATGACTCTTCTATTCTTAGAGTGGATATTGCTTGAGGACAAATAACCCTTAAGTGGGGAGAGGTTGTGAAAATTTCATTTTGACAAATTATCTTAGGAAAAACTATTTTGTTTTGTAATGAGTTAATATTAAAAATTTATCCTTTTATGCCTAATTTTCTTATATATTTTTTTCTAAATGAAGAGTGAAATCCAAGAATAAAAAATGAAGGATGAAAGGGTTAAAAAGGTTAAAAGAAAATTTTGTGAGACATGTTATAAACCAAAAGAACGTCGCAGAAGCAAAAAAAGGATGCATATAATGAAGAAGTTGGATTGTACAATGGTGTACACGTTCATGCTAATTCCGGCACATATATGCTAATTTATCTTGATAAAGTTAGATATTTATGCTAGATTTAGCACACCCATGCTACTTCATCCTTATAAGCACATCTATGCCTATGGCGAAATAGTTGTGTCATACAAAAAGGCTTTGAACCCCTAAATGGGGTAAGTCTAATTGTTTTTATAAATAGAAAACTTACTTAGGTCATAAGGAGACATTTATTGTATGTGGTTACTCAAAATTTTTCTTTGTTTCTCAATGTTTTCTAGGAACATTCATAGGATTAATTAGTCTTTTTACTTTTATGAATTAGAGTTGAGCAACGTTGTATCAACAAGAGCATTAGATTGCTAGATTCTATGGTTCTTCTTCTTTATTCTTTTACTTGATATAATGATTTTGTCTAGTATTTTGATTTTTTATTTAATTTTTATCATGTGTAACTAAATCTTAAATTAGGGCTATGGCAATTCCTAAGGCGAAAACTTTTTAATTAATTTAATATTTTATGATAAATGTTTAGTCATTTTCTTTAATTAGGTTTATCTTATTATGCTTCATTGTGAGGATGAATAGATCAAGTGAGCTTACTATTCTTAACTAATTAATTTATATGATAAACAAAATTTAGGGTATCAAAAGAAAATGTTAATTTCAAATCATAAAAAGAATAAGACAACATCAAACTTACCACTTAGGTTAGGCTAGAACCTCAGTTTCATTGGTTCAAATTTGTAATTACAAAAGAACATTCTCTCTCTCTCTATGCTCATACTTATGCACACCTCTGATTAAATTCAATAACAAAGGGATTGATAATTCTTAATACTAAACAAGGAGTCTCAATGGGATGATCACATATGATCTAAGAAATCTGATTTATTTGCTGATGGATTTATTTGCTCATTATTGAAAAATGCATATAATAAAGATAATAAATTTGTATTTTAACATACTTTAATAGCCTATTTTTATATATTCGATCCTTACCAATACATTTGTGGTATAGGATTTAATGAGAATCTTAATAAGAACACGGGTAAAGTTGGATGGCTCTTGAAAAACTTTTTTTATTTATTATGCCATTTTTTATTATTATTTTTAAGCGGTCACTTATAAAATATAATAATATAACCTTTTTTAAAAGTTGCAACGTCCC